ATCATATAGCTAAAACACCGCTTATGTCGTTGATAGTTTACCTAATAATCCAATCTATCGTTGAGTTTTATACTGCCATGCATCACCATACCATCAGAGTGACTTGGACTCTTATAGGGTGATGAAAATGTATGTATCTAACAACACTTACCATTATCCTTTCTTAAATCACCCATCAATGCTTGTGACTTGTCACTCCATACATGATAATAAAACAAGAACTTTTGTCATGGCAGATGAACTAGTTCAAACAAGAGATAATTTGGTGATTCTGATTGACAAGTACTCCACCCCACACCCAAAAGCAAAAAACAAACAACCCTGTTGATGTAATTAAGAGTCTGCACTGACAAGTAAAAACCACAACTACTGCTTAATATCTAGTCATGGGATCACACCAAAAGGGGTTTGGGCTGTAACCTGGTTACATTTTGCTATGTTCTCAAGCCCTCCCATTCTCTCTCCAATGCTAAAATCAGTGTGGATTGGATGACTCAAGTAACTGGCAATGTAAGATTTCAGAGTAACAGCCGTGTTAGTCTGTATTTGCAAAAAGAAAAGGAGTACTTGTGGCACCTTAGAGCACCTCAATTTATTTGAGCATAAGCTTTCGTGAGCTACAGCTCACTTCATCGGATGCATACTGTGGAAAATACAGAAGATGTTTATACATACAGACCATGAAAAAATGGGTGTTTATCACTACAAAAGGTTTTCTCTATCCCCACCCCACTCTTCTTCTGGTAATAGCTTATCTAAAGTGATCACTCTCCTTACAATGTGTATGATGATCAAGGTGGGCCATTTCCAGCACAAATCCAGGTGTCGTGTTCCCCCCCCCCCACTCCCCCTCCGCCCGTTGAGAAAACCTTTTGTAGTGATAAACACCCATTTTTTCATGGTCTGTGTGTATAAAAACATCTTCTGTGTTTTTCACAGTATGCATCCGATGAAGTGAGCTGTAGCTCACGAAAGCTTATGCTCAAATAAATTGGTTAGTCTCTAAGGTGCCACAAGTACTCCTTTTCTTTTTGGCAATGTAAGAGTGTCTGTCTCCTCTTGGCCACGGGTTTGAATTTACTAATGTAAATAGTGACTGAAATTAATAACCATCCAACAACTACTGAGTGGTTTATGAAACAAGCTGGTGGACCTAGCGCAATTTCTAGTGGCAAGGGATCAGTATCACAAAGATTCCTCTCTACTGGCGCTATTGTTGGGAGTCTCAAAGACTAAAGACTGAATGCGTATAGAGACTCCCCAGATCTCCTCCCATTTTCCAATAGAATCAAGGCATTTTTTCTTGTATGTGTTGTTTTTAAATGGCGCAGCAACCTGGCATAACTACATTAGGGTATCTCTTTCGTATTCTAGGAACAGAATTAATTACCTGCAAACACTTAAATAAGTTGAATGAATACGAGGGGGGATTCATTATGGCCAGGATAAAAAAAAAAAAAGGTCAAGGTAGGGGAGAAGGGAGAATGGTGCATATATGATCAATAATGTACCAGATTTACCAGAGTACAACCAGCACCTCGAAAAGCCAGTCTCCTCATAGTGTCTGTTGGCCAAGTTAAGATACTGGGAGAAGGTAAGGCTTTAAAAGTGTCAATTCACCAATGGTGTTAGTACAGTCTAAACTGAAAGAGAAGAAAAAGGAGAGAAAAATAGAGGGGAAGGGTAAAAAGGAGAGAGTGGATCGACAGAGTTCAAGAAAAATAGTGAGGAGAGAGAGGAAAGGTAGGGGAGGAGAGGAACATATAGATTAGTATTTTTTGGATTTGTTCTTAACAAAAACAAACTTCCACATAGAGTATTTTTTCAGCACAAAAAATAAGACATTTTTCTGGATTTTTTTAAACAAACTGTTTGCTTTTTCCTAAAGGCCCTGCTGACACATCACAGATTTTACTGCCAGTCTGAATGTAAAAGAAGAGAGAACAACTGCAACACTGTAAACTGGTAGGAGTGGAGAAGCAGCACAGTGAATGTATAAATAAAAAAAAGTTTTAAGTTTCCAAAAAAGTAATAAGAGTCTTCAGCAATGGCCCACATCATCAAGAAACATCTTCAGAGGAGTTTTACGGCTCTCTTTACTGAACAGTAGCCTTCCTTACTAAACATTTAGCCCCTGTTCATAAAACTTCAGCCACATACCCTATTACATAATAAAGTTTACCAGTATAAGATTGTGCAACAAATACATCAGTTTGCTTGTTGAAAAACACTTCTATCAAAACCAAGCTTGAATATCAACCAGGATATAAAATATAAACCTGTATTTTGTTAACAGAATAGCTATACCTTATCAATGCCAGTTTCTCTTTTAAGACTGATTTTCTAACAAATCCCATCCACATATACAGAACTGTATAAAAAAACAGAAAATAAAATTAGTCTTACCTATCTAGTATGCACTATTTTAGTGTTTGGAACCAGAACCAAAAGACATGGAAGACAACTTGTTAACCAAATGACAAATTTTTCCTATGTATTTTTACACCGCACATGCTCTTACAGAAGAAGTTTAAGAGCATATTAAGCATTAACTTTTAATACATACTTCATTTAAGTACCTCGGAGCTTTATCTCCCTGTGCAACTTAGGTTATGTAAACCCTATATCAAGGTTTGGACGCCATCATATACCCAAATTCAGTAAGAATCACCCATCAGATGTTTGACAGCTAGAAAACAATACCGAATAGCTGCCATAAAACTGATAACATTTCAGAGCCTGAACTGCATTAAAGATTCTCTAGATCGCTATGTTTTTGCACAATAATCAAGTTATTGATTGCAAAAGAATACCTTATAATTTAGTGGAGAAAGTGTAGAAAATATTGCTCTCTTCTTAATGGAACTGATGTCTCATGGTGCCTCCTGGGGTACCAACAATCTCCCTACCTACAAACACTTTCACTCCTTGTGTGAAGTAGAGAAGGCCTTGAGAGCTATTCAGACATTCCCACAGGACCTGAGAACAGTGTCTCTGCAGCACTCACATGAAAAATTGCTTTAAATCTTGAACATTTTTCATAACCTTTACAGCCACTCTTAAAAAGTCAGATCTCTTATAATACACTCTTCTACAGCTACTCACTGAGAGACCTCTCTTGTGACTCCTAAAACATGACAGGTCACTCATTGCCACATCTCCTGATGATATGTCAATAAACATTTTTCTGTTGTAATCTATTAAGGACCCATCAATATATAATGTTTAATCTCCTTGAAAGAGTCAAGCTTTTACACATATTCAAGGCAATTTACTTAAAACAAGCCAATTCAGTTTTAACAAGCATTTACCTTTCTGCGTCCCTTTAAAAATAACCAACCAGGAAAGATACACAGGTGTCAAGAAAAACTAATTGTTTGCACTGTGGGTATCCTCCACATGTCTGTAGAAATATTTCTCAGATAATGCCAAATGTCACAAAATGACAGAGGGAATATATCATACAATCTTTCTATATGATTACTGATAAATAAATCTTGAAACTGGCCTGAAACATATGAGGAAAAGTGGATGGAGGGAATGATGAACTCTAAAAGGATAAAGTTACCAAAGTTAAATGCACGTTTATTTCTTCATTCATCTTTGAAGGGGTAATGGACAAGGGACAGATAATGTGACTGCTTATTTGATCAACTACTGGGTGTAATACAGGTCTGCTTCTACTTTAAATATTACTAAATGGTATATATACATTTTCTAGCAAATTTTGTGAGGCTCCTTTGGTAAGAAAGGAGGTTTTAGGGAGGATTGGGTCTATTTATGACCCTATAAATATAAATAAAATATTTGTATATAGCTACATACACATCTTCAAGTATTGTACAATCATTAACTATGCACCCAGTACTTCACAGGTAGAAAAACTGAGGGAAAGAGTATATATTACATCATTCTCTTTCTATATTTTGATTTGTAAAAATGTCATGCACATGGATTTGTCTATCATTCCTACCTACCCTGAGGTATGCTCCACCCTCTTAGTTGCAAGTTCTCTGGGACAGAAAGTCTTCTGTCTTTTCTTAGGAAAGGCTGAAATAATTCGGCATATTTAGTCTAGAGAAGAGATGGGTGGGGTGGTGAGGGACATGATCACAGCCTTCAAATATGTAAACGGTTGTTATAAAGAGAACTGTGATCAATTGTTCTCCATGTCCACCGAGGGCAGGACAAGAAGTAATCAGCTTAGTTTGCAGCAAGGTTGATTTAAGTTAGATATTAGGAAAACCTTTCTAGTTATAAAGTTAGTCAAGCACTGGAAAAGGTTACCAAGGGAGGCTGTGGAATCACCATCTCTGGAGGTTTTTAAGAACAGGTTGGACAGCACATGGTATAGGTTTATTTGGTCCTGCCTCAGCTTCCGGGGGCTGGACTTGATGACCTCTTGAAGGCCCTTCCACCCTTACATTTCTATGATACTTTCGGTACAAAAGGCCATGATCCTCGACTGGAGAACCTAGGTGTTATGAATAAAATAAGAGTAATGTGTTGGAGGTCAGAGTCAGGGCGTGGATGTCAGGACTCCTTGCGTCTTTTCCCAGCTCCGACAGCGACTCAACCAGTTGACTGCTTTGACAAGCCGCTTCCCCGCTCCATGCCTCAGTTTCCCTTAGGTGTAAAAGAGGGCTAACACCGCCAGCCTCACCGAAGGAGGATCAGTGCCCCTGGAGGCGAGGGGAAGCGGAGCTGGTGCCTCGACCGGGACAGGTGGCAGGGATGAGGATGGGAACAGGGGATCAGCAGCTCCCACGCCGCCGGAAGGGTCCGGGGCGGGCCCCGAGCAGGGCACCCCCACGCCGGGGGCGCTGTCTCCCCACCAGGAGCGCAGCGGCCACACAAAGAGAAGCGGCGGCCTCCTGGCTCCCGCAGCCCGGCTGCCCGCTCCGAGCCGCCAGGCCTGCAGCCAGCGCTTACCCAGCCGGCCCCGCTCCGCCTCCGACAGCCGCGGCCGCGCTTGCCCCCCGCCGCCCGCACCGCCGCCGCCACCGCTGCTGCTGTTCCGGCCGCTCCTCCTCACTGCCGAGTCTGCCGCTGCTGCAAAGCCCGCCCAGCCGCCAAGCGAGCCCGCCAGCGCGACACAGCCCAAGCCGCGGGACCGGCCTGCTTTACGGCAGCGCCTCTTCACGGGACCGGCCTTCCCCAGTCGCCGCAGCGGCCTCCACGTGGGGAGAGCGGGCCCGGAGCAGCCGCCGCCGCCATGAGGAGGCCCAGTGAGTGCGGGCGGGCGGGCGAGCAGGCAGGACCGGGCGGGGGGGCAGGGGCAGGGGCAGGGGCAGGCGATGGACAGAGCCGCTAGGCCCCACGGGCGGGGAGGGAGGCCGAGGGCGCTTCCCTGTCGCGATGGAGCCTGTGAGGAGCCGTCCGTGGGGTTGGGGATACGGTGACCAGACAGCGAGTGTGAAAAATCGGGGCAGGGGGTGGGGGGTAATGGGAGCCTATATAAGAAAAAGGCCCAAAACTCGGGACTGTCCCTGTAAAATCAGGACATCTGGTCATCCTAGTTGGGGGGGCCCCCCTCCGAGCTGCTGGAGGAGGGGGAGCCCCCTGCGGGAGTGACAGCGGTTCTGCCGGGGGGGGGTCAGCCTTGGTTTGCCCCTCTCTTCTGTTCTCCTCCCAGCCTAGGCCTCCAGCCCTGGAATGTGCTTCTGAGGCCTCGCTGATCCTGCAAAGACTTGGGCCCGCGCTGGGCTCCGCTTAACTTCACGTGCTCACACGTGCCTACAGCCTTTCCAGGGTCGGGGCCAAGATGGGGATCTGTGCAGAGCTGAGCGAGACTTTTTCGAACGCATAATTTTGGGGGAAGGGTCAAAATATCCCCCCCCCCCCCCCCCAGTGCTGCGACACTATTCGCAAATTCGGACCCAATTCAACAAATAATTTAGGCCCAGGAAAAACTGAAGATTTTTGTTTTTAATAAAAAAGTCAAAACTTTTTGTTTCAACCTTTGGTTTCTAAAATTTTGAAGCGTTTTGTTTCAAAATGGTGTTTTAAATTCAGATTTGGCCAATTTAAAAAATAAAACACAACTAGAATGAAAAACACCCGAAAGTGACTAAATTGAAACAAAAAGCTGGGACAAAAATTCGTTTTGAGTCAACTGAAGTATTTTTGGTCAATTTAATTTTGTTTGTGTGTGTTTTCAATTCAGCAGTTGGGGGGGGGGGGAATGATTTTGGTTCAAATCGATTTTTCTTCTGATTTTTCAGTTCTGTCCCTGAACCAAAAAAATTGTTATTTGCCAAGCTCTGCATCTGTGGCTTCCACACTGGTGTTGCTCATAAGATTTGTATTTGGAAAGTGTATCCAGTCTGCCTGATGATAACCCATATTGATATTTTCAGAGTTGAAGAAGGCTAGTAAGCGCATGACCTGCCATAAACGATATAAAATCCAGAAAAAGGTAGGTCTCAATGCCAAATTTGCTATTAAGCTTTCATATTAAAGGAACACTTGGATATATTTCAGCCCTAATAATTATAGATTATGTAAATGCATAGTTTTCATGGTGTTTACAGTTTGAGCCAGTTGCTAGTTTTTAAAGTTCAGCTCTGAATCCAAATTTGGGTGGGGGTTCGATGTAAAGTTTTGAGTGGAACCCATTTCTGTTTAAAGCATAACTAAATGTAGGTGCCCTAATGACCAAAATGCTTTTGGAGTGGTATTATTTCTGTTTAGCATTTATATTGCAGTAGTACTAGTAGCCAGCCAAGTTGAGGCCCAACTGTGAACCACCCATTCCATACATAACTTGTCATTTTGCTCATCAGTTTATCTAAGATATTTCTAATGCACTATGGCATCTAAGCACCTTGTATACAAATTAGGGTAGCAGTAGCTTGCCCAGAGCATCCTCATTACTCTGATATCAGCCATGCTTTTATTTTGTATTATTTCAAAGTTGTTGGTGTTTCTTCTGTTTGAATAAAGGGGCATAAAAATAGAAAATGAATGTTGCCTGACTGCAATGTGCATTGTAATGCTAATGCTGGATGCTAATACCACAGTGTAAAGAGAGTTCACAGGTAAAAATTAGGGCTGTTGATTAATCGCAGTTAACTCATGTGATTAACTAAAAAAAATTAATCGCAGTTTTAATCATACTGTTAAACAGTAAAATACCAAGTGAAATGTATTAAATATTTTTGGATGTTTTTCTACATTTAATATATTGATTTCAGTTACAACACTGAATACAAAGTGTACAATACTCACTTTATATTATTTTTTATTACAAATATTTGCACTGTAAAAATGATAAAAGAAATAATAGTTTTCAATTAAACTAATACAGGTATTGTAGTGCAATCTCTTTATTGTGAAAGTGCAACTTGCAAATGTAGATTTTTGTTGTTGTTACATAACTGAACTCAAAAACAAAACAATGTAAAACTTTAGAGCCTCCAAGTCCACTCAATCCTACTTCTTGTTCAGCCACACGAAGAGAAACAAGTTTGTTTACATTTATTGGATAAAATGCTGCCCGCTTCTTATTTTGTAATGTCACCTGAAAGTGAGAACAGGCATTCACATGGGACTTTTGTAGCTGGCATTGCAAGGTATTTATGTGCCAGATATGCTAAACATTTGTATGCCCCTTCATGCGTCTGCCACCATTCCAGAAGACATGCTTCCATGCTGATGACGCTCTTAAAAAAATATTGCGTTAATTAAATTTGTGACTGAACTCTTTGGGGGGGGAATTGTATATCTCCTGCTGTTTTATCTGTAGCCTGCGATATATTTCATGTTATACCCGTCTCGGATGATGACCCAGCACATGTTGTTTGTTTTAAGAACACTTTCACTGCAGATCTGACAAAACACAAAGAAGGTCTCAATGTGAGATTTCTAAAGATAGCTGCAGCACTCAATCCAAGGTTTAAGAATCTGAAGTGCCTTCCAAAATCTGAGAGGGACCTGGTGTGAAGAATGCTTTCAAAAGTCTTAAAAGAGCAACACTCCGATGCAGAAACTACAGAATCCAAACCACCAAAAAAGAAAATCAACCTTCTGATGGTAGCATCTAACTCAGATGATGAAAATGAACGTGTATCGGTCTGCTCTGCTTTGAATTCTTATCTAGCAGAACCCGTCATCAGCATGGACCCATGTCCTCTGGAATGGTGGTTGAAGCATGAAGGGACATATGAATCTTTAGAGCATCTGACATGTAAATATCTTGTGACGCTGACTACAGCAGTGCCATGTGAACGCCTGTTCTCACTTTCAGGTGATATTGTAAACAAGAAGAGGGCAGCATTATCTTCTGCAAGTGTAAACAAACTTGTTTGTCTGAGCAATTGGCTGAACAAGAAGTAGGACAAAGTGGATTTGTAGGTTCTAAAGCAGGAGTGGCCATCCTGTGGCTCTGGAGCCACATGCAGCTCTTCAGAAGTTAATGTGCGGCTCCGTGTATAGGCACCGACTCTTGGGCTGGAGCTACAGGTGCCAACTTTCCAATGTGCCGGGGGTGCTCACTGCTCAACCCCTGGCTCTGCCACAGGCCCTGCCCTCACTCCACCCCTCCCGCCCGCCCCCCCCCCCGACTCCTACACACCACAAAACAGCTAATCGGGAGGGAGGGGGAGAGGTGCTGATCGGCGGGGCTGACGGTGGGCAGGAGGCACTGGGAGCAGGGGGGAGCTGATGGGAGGGCTGCTGACATATTGCTGTGGCTCTTTGGAAATGTACATTGGTAAATTCTGGCTCCTTCTCAGGCTCAGGTTGGCCATCCCGTTCTAAAGTTTTACATTGTTTTTGTTCTTGAATGCAGGAGGTTTTTTTGTACATAATTCTACATTTGTAACTTCAGCTTTCATGATAAAGAAATTGCACTACAGTACTTGTACTAGGTGAATTGAAAAATACTATTTTATTTTTGTTTTTTACAGTGCAAATATTTGTAATAAAAATAAATATAGAGTGAGCCCTGTACACTTGGTATTCTGCGTTGTAATTCAAATCAATATATTTGAAAATGTAGAAAACATCCAAAAATATTTAAATAAATGGTATTCTATTATCGTTTAACAGTGCAATTAATCGCATGGTTAATTTTTTTAATCTCTTGACAGCCCTAGTAAAAATTGTTTTCTTTTTTAATGCCAAATACTTTGAAACAGAAAACCAGCAAACTGCTTTGAAATAATACAAAAACTAGGCAATACAGAACTTATTGTGAGTGGACATAGGGTTCAGCTGCAATGGGAAGTTGCTTTTAAATATAGGGAACAAATCTACATTGGCAGAGAGATGGCATAGATGACATAATAACTTAAGTCTTTGAATCTTTAACTTCTGCAGTTCAGGGTCTGCTTATTTAAGCACAGCTACCTGCTGATTCAGTCTGTAATTGAAAGCCCTTCACTCCAAACACAGAAAATCTTTATAGACATAAATATGAAGGAAGGAGAAGTGTGATGGTCTCTGCATCAAACTGGGTTTGTGATTCCAGTTCCAGATTTTGTTCTTTCTTGCCCATAGGTTCGGGAGCACAGCAGAAAACTCAGGAAAGAGGCCAAGAAACGTGGGCACAAAAAGCCCAAGAAAGATCCAGGAATTCCCAATGCTGCACCTTTTAAGGAAGAGGTTCTTCGTGAAGCTGAGCAAAGGAAGCAAAGGGTAAAATACAGTTTATAATAGAATGAAGGGGTTATGTGCATATCCCCACTTCAGGAAAACTTGATATGTGTCATGCACTATAAATAGTCTTAATAGCCATCACTTGTATGATGAAATCCTCTGTATAGGCACCTAAATATGTGTGGGCAACATTAACACTGTCTGCTAATGTGACTACCCTGCCACAGAGGGACCATCACTGACATCATTTTGAAGGTGTCGAGTGCCGATGAGAAGCACAGTTGGGAAAGTAACTGAAATACTTCCCTAATGGATTGTATTTTCTAAATGGAAAATCTACCCTAAATTCTCAATTACTGAGGGACGATCTTCACTCATTGATATATTTGCTTTCCACAACCAACTCTCTATAACTTTTCATGAGTGAGGTACCTGAATACTTGGATGCTAGTATCTAAAGTGTATTGTTAAATTTATTCACATAAATTTGGGTTATTGCTGATTCTGTACTATATGTATCTTATGACTTTTAAAACAAACATTGTATTTGTGGATAATCTAAGCACTATACCCAGATGTACAAACTCTCTTTTCTTACCTACGTATTACATAATTTTGTAACATTAGCTTTAATAAAATTTTTATTTCTGTCTGTTTTGGCACCAAAGTATCTGAGTGCCTCCAAAAGTTTAATTGGCAGGAGTAATGTATCACCATTTCCATCAGGTAAAAGCACGAGTAGAAATAAGCTCCTACCAGCCAACCAGTTCCTTAAGCTCCCGCCCTTGATTTCTTAATAGTTCCAGACAAGTATCAGAGACAGATACACCAAGACTGAAAGGACCATGGAGACTGAACATCCCTTTTCCTTCAATGTGACCACTCTAGGTCAAGATTAAGACCTGAACCATACTCTTGAATGAAATCCTGGTCCCACTGATACTTTGCCATTGAATTCACTGCAAACAGGATTTCACTCCTTGTGTGGATAGAGAACTTAGCTTTCTAGGACTCTCAACCTGGCACCTTTCACTAGCATTAAAAACTGTGCAAAATATTCAAAGAATAATCCTAGGTGGCAATGTGTAGCACTTTTATAGTACTGCTCTTCATGTTTAAAGCACTTTACAAACAATCCTGATTGTAAATGGGGAGGAATACTCTTTAGCTTATGAAATGTTGTTCTCTGTCTTGTTTTGTTGCAATTAGCTTGAAGAACTAAAACAAAAGCAGAAACTTGCTAGGCAGAAAGACCTTGAAAAGAAAAGAAAGCTACAAGCTAAAAAGAATGCTACCAAAGCAAATAAACATCCAGAGGAAAAGGTATGTATGTGTAGTATAATTCTTCTTTTTTCAAAGAGGCTAGTTGACTTGCAGCACAAGAGACAAACTTTCCATCCTCTCATAAGGCCTAATCCAGCACCCTTTTAAGTCTATGGCAGAATTCCCATTGCTTTTGACCAACAGTAAAAACCTGGTGTAGTGATAGATCTAGTGAGGACGTGAAAGTTATTATGCATTCCCTTTTAATCAAAGTATATATAGGGGTGTCAGGTTTACTGCTAACGTCAATTACAGCTTTCAGGAATATTGGTCTACATATTGCAAATATCACATCTCTCCTAGATCTGATTCCATTGAAGTTTATAGGAATGATAAATGTAATCCTCAAAGTATCATTTCTCTTAAGTAACATATATTCCCTGATTGTTGCTTTTTCATGCTATTAGAAATATTGCAGTGCTAGTTGCTTATATTGTGTAAAGACAATATTTTAATTTGTGGCTTCAGATTCTCTTCTCTCCTCCCACCCTCTTCATTCAGGAATCAACCACGAAACCAAAAGCAAAATCTAACAGTCTGCTGGATAAAAATTCAAATAAATCATTTTGCAGAGAACTTAAAAAGGTAGGAACTTTCAATAATTACTTTCTATATTTTGAGCAGCAACCCAAAAAAAATGATACTTTACTTTTCAGTTATTCAGTTAAAAGTTTTATATATTATGGACTTTGTTAGAGAACAATACACTTTTAGGGTCCCAGTGTTGTAAAGGTGCTGAGCACTCTCAACTCCCATTGAGGATGTTCAGCACTTTTGAGGACTATGCCCCTTGGGCTAAAGTCAAGGAGCATTTTACGAAAGTACTTCAGGATCATGTTCTTTATCATTAAACTCTCATTCCCAATTAACTGACATCTGCCTGCTTAAAGAAAAAGCTGAAGGGGCTTCACTTTTCTGTCCTGCAAGACAGAGGCCTACTGTACCCTTGTATTGTTAACACTGCTTTTGTGATGACAGGTTGATACTGACCCAAGTGTTAAAGAGAACTGACTGAGAAATCCAATGGGCTGTTGCCAAGAGGATGAAAAAAAATGAAAATTCTTTGATATTTGAATTTTCTGTAAAACCCTTTTATCGTTTGAGATCACAACAGCAAAGATTTCCACACATATACTCTTCAAGATTGTCTGCTAGACCTTATTAAAAATTGAATAAAGCAAGTTTGATCAGTGCAGAAAATTGATCTGTTCTTGACCAACTGCTTTCCTCTTCATTACTGTAGAGGGAAAGAAAAATCACTCTGAAAACTCTGCCATACTGTCTTACAAATAATACAGATACAAAGAAAACAAAAGAATTTTTCAATGGTACGGCACCTTGCGTATAATCAGTTTCACAGTTTTTTCCTTCTAAAGGAAGTCTGTTTTCCCTGTTTGCGTGGGTCTTTCATACAGGAGAGAAACACATCAAAAATGGGAAAATGCAATTGTAAAACCACAAAATTGGTAGAGGACTCAGGCCTTGTCTACACTACAAAGTTATGCCGCTTTAATTAAAACCACGGTTGCATGTCCACACTAGCTCCTTTTGTCGGCCGAGCACATCCACACGAACAGCTCTTGCATGGACACAGTGAGCAGTGCACTGTGGGTAGCTATCCCTCTGTGCAGCTGGCAGCAGGAAGGGTGTACAATGCCTCATGGGGCATGTACAGTGTCACATGATGTAGGTTTCTCAATCCCATCCTTCCAGGGGCATCCTAGTAGATTGTCAGCTGCTTTTTCAACTGAAGAGTGGGGAGAGGCAGAGGAGAGTGGTGTGTCTGGGGCAGGGGAGACAGCAGGCTGACAGACCTATTCTGAGGTAGGGGGAGGGGGATCAGCTCTGCTCAGCATAGCAGTCTCTCCCAAAGCAGCCTGCTCAGCTTGCCTGCCTGTGGTTCTGTGATTCCCTCCGAGTTCTCCCATTGCCTCCTCAGCTGCCAGGAGTGGTATCCTGAGCAGCTCCGGTGCTGAGGAATGTCAAAGCAGCACAGCAGTCAGTGTCATCTCTCCTCCACCCCTCCCGCCTGCCCCAGTGTTCCTAGTGCAGGGCAGAACTAGAGCATTCCATGCTAACTATTTGCTCTTTGTTCCCCAAAGGGAGCAGCATGCTCAACTCTCAGATACTTCCCAGAGCTTTGAAGGGGGGTGGGGGTGCATGCCAGTGCAGGACAGCAGAAATCAAAACAGTGAGCAGAGTGGTCAGGGCAGGCATGGTGGGATACTTGTGGAAGCAATGTCTACACTGACACTTTGTCGCTTTAACTTTGCCGCAAAAAGCTTTATGTCTCTCGTTGTGGTGGTTTTATTTTGTCGGCAAAGCAGCAGAGTTTTGCCGCCAAAAGTAGCTTTGTAGTGTGTACACCTCCCCTGTTTTGTTGGCAAAACTTTGTAGTGTAGACAAGGCTTCAGACAAATTGAAACTACTTTTAAGTAATGGTTAATTACTGGAATTAACTCGGAGTTAAGCTAATTGTGTCCCTTTAATTATTGAAACCTTGTTAGAACAGGCATCCTTGCTAACTTTTAACTGAAGAAGATTTGTTGGATTTAAAGATGACAAACTGTCTCAACCTTTACACCCAGATTTCTGCATTGTATGCTCTGTGTGGTGGTGTGTTTCTTCCTTGTACAATGCTAAGAGTTAAGGAGTCAAACAGTAACTAAATTTGTTTTCCTGTGTTGTCTTAAAATAAACCGCAAAAATGTAAGTTGACTTTTTATATAATAGAGAGCTCACTTACTGGTCATTCTTTAAAATGAAAATTTCACTGTAATGAGAGAACAGTACTGATGATTTCAGAGATGTTTCCTGTAATGCTGTTTTCTAATCCTGTGGCTGGGAACGTGTCTTCTCTATTCCATTTCAGGTGATTGAGGCTTCAGATATAGTCCTGCAGGTCTTAGATGCCAGAGATCCCCTGGGCTGTCGGTGCTCCCAGGTGGAGCAAATCATTACTCAGTCTGGAGGAAACAAAAAGCTATTATTGGTGTTAAACAAAATCGGTAAGTGAAACAATCTGTTTTGTGCAGATATTTAGTCACTCATAGGGTTCTGTGTTAGAATATGAGCTATGAGGAAGATATTAAGGCAGTCTGAGATATCACTGATGACTAAGATCCAACTCTGAGCTCGCTGTCTTGTTGAAGGGATTACACTTTCCTATTTTTGTATGTTCTCTCATCTCTTGCTGTGTGACAAGATCCACACAAACAGGTGAAACTGACTACTGAATGTTTGTTTTTTAATGCTGCATCTGTTCACTTAATCGAGCAAAAAGATTCAGTGTTAAGGATAGAGTAGCCTTCTCAGCTACTGTGTGGAACAAAAGCTGTTAAAACTATACATGATATTAAAGATTGAATCTAATGGCTGAAAACAGCAAGCAATTCTTTAGATCCCAAGCTAAGTAAATTCCATACAGTGACACTTGAGTTCATTAGAGTGAAAGGTCTGTATTCCTTTCCAGATCTGGTACCAAGGGAGAACTTGGAGAAATGGTTACATTATTTGAAGAATGAGTTTCCAACGGTTGCTTTTAAATCCTCAATGCAGCTGAAGGACAGAAGCGTGGTAAGAGCACTGCTGTCTCTCTCTTGTATAAGACTGAATCATATGTGTGTCGCTGGGTTGAAACATGATGAAAAGCAAGGACTCTTGACATGAAGATGAAGATTGCAAGATCCAACTCTGATTTCTCCCAGTTAAAATACAAAGTTTTACTTATCTCTGGGGTGTGTTTTTATGGCCGACTGGCTGTGCTCCTGCAACTGATACTTTTGGCTTGGTGGAATAGTGATGAGCAGTCTTAGAACTTTTCTGCTTGGGCTGGGGAAACTTCACAGTTGTTGGTGAATTCTTGCTTCAGTACTGCACACTACTAATTATGACTAGAAAATTGCATTGAGGCAAGGCAACATACTAAGGATTTGTACTGAAAGACACACCCATCAATGGAATCCGCATTGAATGAATGAGGAAGTCCTGAAATCTAAGGTCTTGTCTACAGGAGACCATTGCACTGGTTTAAGTTTAATGTTTTTAAACCAATTTAGTTAAACTTATTTAAGCCTCTGAGTGAACACTTATTTCCATCCCAAGCCTGTACATTACTAAGAGTGGTATTTGGAATTATTTCATGAAGAGTTGGGGTAATGAAGGAGTCTCCTCCCCACTGCCCATCTCCCATTGGAGTATAATACACATCTTTTGATTCTTGCATGCATTAATTTAAGACCCTAATAATATTTGTGTAACATTTTTCATTAGAGAGACTTAAAGTGCTTTGCAAACGCACCCTAATCTTCACTACGCCACAGTGATACAGATAAGCATCATCTGCATGTTGAAAGTGCAGGAATTCAGGCACAGAGATTGTGGAGCCCTTAGATTAATAAACAATTGCTCATGCAAGTAGTCCCATTGAAATCAGTGGGATTACTTGAATGAATGCTCAGCAAAGTGAGTAAGGGCTCCACCCCATTCTGGCTTTAAGTGACTTTCCCAACGTCATAAAGTGATACTTCAGCACAGCCAGGAATGGAAGCACAAGTCCCATTAATCAGTTCACATTGCTAGATGCATGGTCTCCTGTAATATTTTGAAGGACTGCCTTTCTTACTGCCCGTCAGGTCAGATGCACTTTAATTGGTATCTCATCAAGTCCCTTCTAATTGGAAGAAAGATGCTGTAAAGGCCATCCAATAGAAGGTATTAGTGGGTATATAGGAGTAAAATGTACATTTGGATTCATATTTAACATCCCAAACACATACAGTTAAAATGGGCCCATCCTATGTTTTTACCTTTTGAATTTTATAGCAGGAGAAGAAGCTCACAAAGAAAAGAGCTCGCATTGACTTGTCAAGAGGCAGCATGTGTTTTGGAAGTGAGTGTCTTTTGAAGCTTCTTCGAGATCACTGCAGGACTCAAGACACAGCCATTCAAGTTGGGGTGATAGGTAAGGCGTATTTTTTTTTTCTTCTTCTCCTTACAAAGAAACTATGCAGTATAACACAAGCTGGGTGATATAACACAATCAGTGACTGCTTTCTCACATCTCAGGCTTTGAAATACTTTGGCCTTTCACTGAACATTCTTAGGTTTGACATGGGACTTGGTATAGCTGCACCCAGTGATGCCTCTTCCACTTCCTGCCCATCAGAGGTAGCTCTCCTATTTGTGTCTAACATTAGTGACCAACTGATGATTGAATATGTGACCAGTCTGGCTATGGGAAGCACAAAAAAATCTGACGCTAGTTAATGTACCAGATTGAGTGTTAAACCAAGTCATGTAGCTCTTCTCAACCAGCACTGCCTCTTTTTACACTTGATAGGTCCTTGGTGTAATTTTTTAATTTAATTGATGTCACTTTTCTTGTCCTTTTTATTACTAGAGTGAGAAATGAGGATATATACTTTGTCTGACTGTTACAATGAAGACTTCAGATCCAACTCTGATCTCACTCTGACTACATGTATTAAAGCCAGTAGTTCTGGTCTAATTTACATGGACTAGGGTTTCTTGTTTAACTATTTAAAGTATTTTTACCATTTGTTTGTGTTTTTCTTCAGGCTTCCCTAATGTGGGGAAGAGCAGTATAATCAATAGTCTGAAGGAGATGCGTGCCTGTAATGTGGGGCCAGTTAGAGGCGTTACCAAGTAAGTTTAGTTTGACAAAATCATTGGTTTTGTAGTTATGTTCTGATTACGTACATTTCCTAGCTGTTTCAATTGGCTAGAGCATTCTCCACTGCCTGTTCTGATCAGTCAGTGTAACTGAGCACCGCTCCCTAAACAGCTGCTGCATTTCAGTGGTGCACAAAGTATGCCCCTATATGTAGTTTTTAAAGTGTAGTAGGATCTCTGTGTGAAAGGGTCAGCTCACTTCTTGGCGCCTCCTTGTGGCTGGGTGTGGTATAGCAACGCTATCCCTTAGCGTCTGCTGCCTCTGGCTGCTCCGCCTCTTGAGTGGCCTGTACCTCTTCCTGTGATGTGGCCCTCTGGCCAGGTCACTTTCAAGTCTCTCCCTTTTTGGGGGGTAGTCCATAAACAAAAAGCAAGGAGAATTAACACAAACAAACAAGAGTTAGTAACAGAGGAAGGAATGCCTCCCTCTCAGGGTGTATCAGGATCAGGCCCTCCCCTCAGGGAGAGTCCTTCAGGCAGTGGATGTCAGGACAGATACTGTCTTCCTTCAGCCCTATCCTCAGGAGCTGAGAGTTGCAGCTCTGCTCTCTTCCCTGGGGTGCCCACAAGTGAGCTGTTCTGCTCCCTTTTAACTCTCCTCCAGCCTGTGCATCTCTTGCAGGTGTGGCTGACTGATCCCAGAGCAACTCCTTAACCCCTTGTTGCCCAGTGTGGAGTTTGTATACCCCATCACACTCAGGATTATAGGCACTATATGCATTGTGAGTTGTTGTTAAAGAAAATTTGTTCTTGAAGAATCACGTCTGAGCCTACTTTGCTGGGAGTCAAGATTTTTTCCATGCCACATCCCATTGGCAGTCAAGGAGTTTATTGGAGTCTAATATCTTTTATTTTCAATTCTAGAATACTGTCAATTTTTGTATTAATTTTGAGATAAGTGCCTTGTCTCTAGACACAACCAATGCTCCTAAATCTGATTTAAGACAGGGGCTTGTCCAGTGAGTCCAAGGATAAGCTCTGATTATTTTATTGGGAAAGGTTAGACACTGTGCCCCACCCAAGTCACTCTCAATGAATCACTTACACAGCCATGAATAGAACCTTGGGGTTTCAAGACCTTGCCTCTTCCTCTAATCACAAAGCTACTTTTCTTTAGGTTTCCAGCGTACACGAAGCACATGATGATGCATTGGAACTGACTTTGCATGAGGAGTTTGTATTCAATCCAACACTGAGCTTCATGTTTTGCTTTAGCAGATGTTTCGTGCTGGTTGATTTATGTTGACTTACTGACAGGATGCATTTCTTCTCTCAAAGGTGCATGCAGACAGTCCATATTGACAAACAAATCAAGATGATAGACAGCCCAAGCATCATTGCAGCTCCGTCCAACTCTGCTCTTGCTCTGGCTTTGAGGAGCACCACAGATACTGAAGAATCAGGAAAATTATTAGATGCAGTAAATGCTATTTTGAAGCACTGCAGTAAACAGCAAGTAAGTTCTTGCATGGCTCCGCTACCTTTCTTATCTCATCCCGATGCATCTAGGTCCTGCATACCTTTATTGCTCCAACAGGTGATCTTGCTTTCTGGCCTGCAAGGTTAGCTTTTGTAAAGCATGTGATCTACTGAAAGTCGAATGCATGAGGTCCCTCAGATGGGAAGCTTCATTGACACACAGAACCAACCTACTTGTGCTATATCTATGACACAAAATCTAACTCTTAATTTGGCAGACAGGTAAAATGCACCAGATCCTCTCTGCCAGTTGTCTCTTTCCCAGTGACTCTTCTGACACAGTACATTTTTATAATTAATTTGATGGAATATAATTAACTTAGTCACATCGTTTTATTAGCAGAGTGAGAAATGAGGATAAACTCAGTGTCTTACTGTTACAGTGAAGACATCAGATCCAACTCTGATCTCATTCTGAATGTTCAATGCTTTAAAGCCAATACCGATCTAATTCCCACTGAAGTCTACAGAGTTAGGTCTCTGTGGACCGCCATTGCTGTTTCCTGGGAGAGGTGAGAAAACTATACATGGATCAATTGGAAAAAGAACACTGATACCCCTTTCTGTGGCAGCTGCATTTGCTAATGGAGTAGCTACTCTTGCTCTGTAATGTGTGGTGCCAAAAGTAAAAGAAACAAAGGACTTACCCAACCATATCTCCTCCTCCTTCCTTCTCTTTCTGTACACGCCTCCTTAGTAGGAACTAGTCTTAAAACAATTTGATTTGTACTTTTATTCCTAAAATCATGAGAGAACTAAATGGACCAGATTCTTAATGAACCCTTGTCCATGTTGTTTTCTTGTTTCAGATGATGCTGTACTACAACATCCCAGACTTCAGAAACTCTGTGGAGTTTTTAACTTTACTTGCACAGAAAAGGGGAATGCTGAAAAAGGGAGGTATCCCTGACACAGAGAGTGCAGCTAAATTACTACTTTATGACTGGACAGGGTAAGGATGTTTTGTTTTTGTTTCAGTATATGAACCTCTTTCACACTAAAACCAATCATTTTACAACAGTGTCACCAGAAGCTTTGGCAACTAACAAATGACAGGAGAGGTTTAATTAAGTTGCTCTCTTCATCCTGCTTCAGCATACTACACCAAAGGGGTCATTGGTTGAACTTGCTTGACAGCAGAGCTACAGAGTGGGATGGAGAATGAGCTGCTATTTAATTAATCTTTGGAACTTGCTTAAGAAAATGAGTCAAGGTCCCTGTGTACACGGATCTACAGCAAGTTTGCTGAACTCTGCCACAGCACAGTTTCAGCCCAGTTTTTCCATGGGAGTTTTGTCCTTCCTTTGAACCACTGAGTCCATATAGTCCTCTTCCGTAGGTATGCGATGACAACAGGGGGGCACTACTACCCTGAAATGGATCTTTACTGGCTCCATGTGGAGCAGATTACTGTCATGCCAGTGAAAAAGGTCCACAGTAATTATCTGCAATACATAGCAGTTTATTGAGAAGGAATTACACAAGCGGTAAAGGGTTATATTGAGCACACAACTCCTGTGTTAGACATTAAGAGCTATACATTCCTCTTAACGAGTCTCTTTCACAAACATACACAAACAGACCCTGTGCTAGCCTCATGCAGTTCCTGCTTGGCAAACAGAGAAGGTAGTTACCAATTTTATCAACAGCTTCTTCCCTCCTGGTCTGTTCTTCTCAGCCCTCTGGTCTGCCTCAGATTCCCTCGAGGCAAGGCCTTGGTTGTCTTGAGACCCCTCTGGTTCGCAGTCCTACTTGAGCCCACGGAGCAGAGTTTTGGCTACTCTGTCTAGCTGCATTGCTTCAAGTGTCAATTAAGGAATTACAGCCAACAGTAATTTACTTTGCTTGATTCTTATACTCTTTTTTCCCCCTCAAGAGTCACATGTCTTAAAAGCATGCCCAGTGGGCGTGTGGTTACTAATTTTTACCTAATTAGTGTTTTAGAAGGGGCTGGGTGTGGTAGTACTGAATGAAGATCACCCCACGTTTACTCACTCATCTGTCATTCACTCTGGCTCTTTGCGTGATGTCCTTGCTGTAAGGTCACTAGAACCAGGTTGACCTTTGCTCCATGCTGGAACTTTATACATGTGATATTTACTTTTGCCAACCAGTAGGTTCAGTATCATTCGTACATCCAGACTTTGCCAGTCCTTTATCAAATTTGCTTCTGCTTAAGGGGAACCTGCTCCCAGGATCCTCTGCAGCCATTCAGCCATGTTTAAGTCATGTCACGTTATGCTCACACCATTCATTCAGTATGGCCACACCAATTTGGCACCGTCCCAACAGCATGGATGGACCATTTGGTCTGTTCGGATTTATAGTTGTTCCCATATTGCTTAGAGTTTAGCTAAATAATAGTGTTGAGATTTTATAGCTAGTGGGCTGATGTGGTCTGCACTGACATGTCAGGAAAAACAGGTGTAATGCCTCTTTCCCCCTCTAGAGAGTGGCAAGAACTTAATATTGATATACAGTATGTAAGATTATATAGTCAGAATTTTTCTGTTGAAGTTCACATGTAAGTAGTTACAAAAGTCTTATGTTGAGAAATGTGGGAAGAGAAATCACTTCTTGGGGTTTTTTTGTTTTTTGTTTTGTTTTTTTAAACACTGAGGTGCCTTTAAACATGTTGCTGGTTTTAGTTAGTGGGTTGTCAAATCCATTTTAATTCCAGTGTTTTCTTTGTCCAGCGCCAAAATTAGTTACCATTCATTGCTTCCTGCATCACGGAGTCTGTCACCACACCTCACCAAGGAGGTGGTAGCGGAAATGCAGCAGGGTTTTAACTTAGAGGAGCTGGCAAAGGATAATATGAACACTATTAAAGGTGAGACTCATCTTTGTACTGCACTATCACTGTTATGGTGGGTATGGTTTTAGCACACAGCTCTCAAATAAGAGCCCTGTTTTAGAGACACATGATGTAGCTGTAACCTGTATTGCACAGTCATTACTTGATCAGTCCTTTGTTTCTACTAATCTGCATGAAACTTTTTTTTTGAGTGCTTGAATCCTGCTTTCTTTATACAGCCCTTCCCCTCAAATTCCTTATTTTGCCAAGTAGTATTTTAACCAGAGTAAATCATATGCTGAAATCCAAAGCCTTCACTACATAGCTGCCTTCTCTGTAGTATGTATTATGGGGACAGTTGCTTCCTTGGAGAATTCCTTCTCACTGGCACTGTTTCGCTATGGATTTTTTTTTTTTTTTTTAAGGGGGTGGTGATATGTGGCTATCCTTGCCTGGCCCTGCCCTGAAAGACATAACCACCTTGTGAGTCCTCTGCATTCCCTGAAACTTCAGTCTGGGGCCCTTCTTATAAGCCTTACGGGTATGCAGTCCCCTCTTTGGGGCAGCTTCCAGTGCTGGTTCCAGAATTCATGTTCCTGTAAGATTAAAATAGCTGTGGTGTTTGCACCTCCTCTTCAAGACTGTCCAGGTCTAATAATACACATATATAATGCTTCAGATTAAGATTGGGATGTATCCCCTTCATTGTAAAATTCTAGAGTCCATGCTGCTGCCAGTTTTAATAAGCATGTTAAAGTTAACTAAATATTTTGAGTAAGGCTGATCTAGTGGCTAGAGTACAAGACATGGAGTCAATTTTTTTCCCCAACTATGCTACTGATTCACTCCAGGTCCCTGGATAAATCATTTAATCTATCTGCTTGAATTTCTCCCATCTTGAAAAGAGGAGGAAATGGCGTAAGGTATTTTAACTACCAGAAACTGCCCATACAAATAGATTCTTAGTTTGTCAGACTGCTATATTGTTAACTGATTGGTGACCATAGCTGTATCCTAAGGTCAGTTCAGAACTTGGATCCTCACTGCCACGCTTAAATTTTATTTTCTTTCCTGTGGGGGATGGGAAGTTGATTCACCCCTTGGGAAATGGATACCCATATATATCTGTTCATTACATCTAGGTCCATCTGTTAACGTTATTAACAGAGGTGTCCAATATCTTTCACAGCTGTAAAATATCCCAATCTGGCAAGCAGTATTGTTTTCCAGTCTTCTGGCTTGACAAATGGGACAATAGAAGAGAATGAACTAACTGAGGGAATATCAGAACTGGAGAACATAGAAACAAGTGAAGAAGGGGAGGAATTAACTGAAGATGACCAGGACACCGATGAGGAAGAGGAACTCATTGAAGAGGCAAGATATAGCTGATAAAAACCAATCAGTATCATGGCTTGTAAATGGAGAGGGTATCCACTGTAGAGGTGGCAGGGGAAATCTCTCCCCCTGGAGAGTCAGTTAGCCTGATTACAAAAAGGGGAGAAATAGAGAACTTCATTGTTATGCTCAGGAAAGTGACTGCCTAAAAATGACACTATCTTACTCAGACCTGTGCCTTGTGTCTGAGTCCTGTCTTCATTTTAGTGTAAATTTTTATGGGATTTTTTTTTAAACCAATTGTGTCTTTACATCTGCAGCGGTAACAGCTCTGGAAAAGTGAGCTGGATTTTATTCTGGCTCATGCATCTGCCAAATTGTTAATTGTCAGCTGTGGAATTCTCAGAAGCACATCATGGTGCAGGAGCCAGATAGCATAAATTTGTGGCACTGAGTGAATCTGCTACAGAATCATTGAGCAACAAACTTGGAACTTCATAAAGTTTATTTTTGTAGTCACTTTTTAAAGCACTGAACAAAAGCTACTCAAAATGAATATAAAATTCTTCATCTTCAACTAACTTCTAGCTCCACTCGTCACTTGAGGAAATCAAAACATTTTCTTTTAAGCAGTTCCTTCTCTGGTAAAGTCTCCAAACACATCTCTGCTTACACTGGGAGAATGAGTTTGGTGTGTTATCCCTGCGCCTTCCTGAAATACTGGTTTATGGCAGTTTATCTGGCTTTAAATTCAAAGCGTGGCCATGAAATGGTGCAACCTATAGCAGCTTTGGTGTGTTAAACCTTCCCATGCTGATAAGAAAGACAGGTTTTGTTAAAGTGCTCAAAATATAGGAAATCTGACAAACAGTGGTTGAGCTGAAGTGTTCCTAAAACACAGTAAGAACTGATGGGTTGGTGTTTATAAAGTAGAGTAACTAGGCAACTCTTTAATAAGTTGCAAGCTGTAACTGGTTTACTATTTGTAGGAATTAATAATTTATGTAATTCTGGAGCAAGTAGGTTTGATTTCCCAGCTCTGCTGTGCCAGTGTAGTATGCTAAAATATCCACCTGTGAATGTTTGAGCATGTAACAGATAGAAAAAATCCTATTCATCATTTCATTGGGAAAGCAGCTTACTGCTTTCCCCTACTTGGTTTAAATGCTAATTCTCAGTGTGTGACTGCAGTGATGATCCTTGCTGAACTGTAATGTCTAATAATTCTGCATATGTTACTTGCCTACTATGAAGAATTTACATCTAAATGTTTAAAAAGAAGCTGGGAGGTTAAAGGTGAAGCCCAGTAGGATTGAGCAGTGCACTGTAGCATAAGTTTTACTAGTTTGAGGATTTTTTTTTCTTTTAAAGATTCAGTGCCTTTGCGGTAATGGAGCTGGAAATGGTTAAAACAGCACATGCTTTAGCTGTACAGTCTATATAAAATATTTTTAAGCACTTAATAAAACTCTTTGAAATGGGAATTGGAATCCATACACCTGCTGATCAGTCACTGAAACTATATAAGGAGTACCAGTTCTGTGGGAATGGTATATCTGATATAGTAGTCTCCCTTATAAAGGGAAGTTTATTCCTACTGCTGACTGAATAAACTGATAGCAATAATACCTGTAACTTTGTTTTAGGAAAGCGACGTTCAGACAAGCAGCAAAACAAACCCTGCAAAACTGAGTGTGGAAGATGAAAGCTTAGAAAAGCAACCAGCAGGTATGTATTTAAAGCCAGTGACTTAAGTAATAAATACATCATTCTCTGTAGCAGACTGAAATCAATACTAGATTACCACTAACAGATTCTCTCTCCTGAAGGTGAACAGTCCCCTACTTTATCATTCAACTTGGATAAGACAGCTGATCAGGATGATGCTTATGATTTTAATACAGATTATGTGTAAAGACAGAAAAAATGCACTCAAAGGCCTAATTTTGAGAAGGGCATTGCCAACTTTCTAAGTAGCTATAAAACACTCTCTATGTTGACCTCTTTCAGTCCTTTGGACCTTACTTGCAAGAGGCTGCTGCAAAGACCCAATATCTCTGATGTGAAATATTATATAGAATACAACGTAACATTGTTTGAAAATCATGTGTTTCTAGAACTGTGTATACTTCAGCTTTGTAAATTTTGTAGTTCTCTAAACTTCTGTAAAAAGATTTTATTAAATGAATCTTAAGGACGAGGTAGCCTCTGAGTCTTATATGTGCTGTAGGAAAAAAGTGTTTCAGAAGAAGTTACAAAATGGAAAACAGTGAATAACTATAAGATAAGTGTTAAAGTTGACACAGTATAAACTATGAAATTGCAGATATTGTTTTCACTTTCAGTCCATTCAGATCAAATACCTACACTAGGAAGAATCTAATCCTTAGCAAAAGGTATCAAAGCTCTTTCAACCAAGGCAACTTCACAGTACAAAGTTATATAGTAATTTACTATCAGATTAACCCACAGAATTTAGTCTTGACTATGTAAAAACCTTCCTACACTAAAAAAAGTCAAGCTACCAATAATGATCTCTATTCATTTCACACAGAAAAATGTCCGTTTTGTGCATGCTTAATACTTTCAGCTTGGTGCAAACTTGAAAGGGGATAAAATGCATATTCTGCCTTACATGACAAGAGGTAAAACCTCCTGCCTTTTGCTGAAGAAGAAGAAACTGCTTGCTGCAGAAATAGATCATAACAACACCTTAAGGAATGCTAAAAATTGACATTCAGTGTCTAACCTCTTGAATTACACTTACCAGCTGGGAGAAAAGGAGATGCACTTGCAAACCAGCTATGCTAGGACTCCAGCTGCTTAGCTCTGCCTAATTTAAAGGGCCAGGCTCAGAAAGGCATGCTGTGATATTTCCTTTAATAGGGTAGTGCCCCCAGGTGAGTTACTAGAAACCAGACAATCACAAGTGAAAGTGCTCCAGACAGAATAAGGGATAGTACCACTACCTCTCTGATATATTAAAAACAGGGTTATTACTAGCCTCAGCTTTGCCAGTTCTTGCTGTAATTTGATACTCCATCCAAATGGCAGGGGAAATAGTTAATCACTTGATATTACTTGTTTCAAGCTCTAGAAATTGACATGGTTCTAATTAATTAATTCTCAGACATTTTGCATACTTTTCCTTTTTACAATTAATTGAAGTTCCAAGGAAATAAATTCCTTAAATTTCTTAATTAAATGCAAAATCTACTGAAACAGACAAGTACCATTTTCAAGACCAGAATGAGTTTTATAGTCATCTGATGCTCAAATTACTTAAATAAAATGATTTAAGGTTAATTGTTCAACAAAGTTTAGTTTACACCACACATTTAAAAACAGTTTGTGTTGAGTGGCAATCACAAAAAAAATTCAGTGAAATAACACTTGATTTAATAACACTTTAATTCAATAACACTTGAGGAGTAGCCTTTGAAAAATATAGATTAAGTTCATACACAAAGGGTTAAATATAAATGGTGAGTGGGTCTTCATGCAAGAGAAAGTGCCTTTTATAAAGCTCCAGGAGGATAAGATAACAAGAAGCTAGTAGCAGCTTTTGATTATGATAAATTGGTGTGCAAGATTTCTGTGTGGCTCTCACCCAGATAAATTGTTCCTAAGAATGAGACATTTATTTCTGTAGCTGACAAAATCATCCAACCTAGAACACTAGTACTGGACTGGAAGAATGTAATTAAAAAGGAATTACATAACAAAAATGCTAGTTCATGGAGGTGTTTCTCCACTCTTCATAGTGCAGCTGGACTACGTTTCCCCAATCATATTTGAAGTCCGTCTCCTCTTCAGGGATGCAGTTTGGTACAGTTGATTATTTCACCTGAAAATGTACTTTCCCCTGTGCTCCAGAGAAGCAAGGAGCGCTGTGTAATACAAATCAGCTGAAAAACACTGCTGGCTCCAAGAGTTTCCTGAGAAAATGACAATAGTTCATAAAATCCATTTTACTTGGACTCATAGATCTCAGAGTGTCTGCGGATCAGGTTGAACTTGCCAGTAGGATCCGGGATGTACCACTTCTCCCAGACATCAGCATATGAAGCTGTTCTTCCCCAGGGTTTGAAATGCCCATTCCAATGGAGCAACTTGGCAGCTTTCACAAACTGAGGAGAATATCTTTTTCCAGTGCGAGAGCCTTTTATTGAAAGAGAAGCGATTCACAACTGCACATTACAGCATGAAATAAAGGCAGTAAAATCTTAGCATGCAAGATTTTAACTTCACAGTTATGAGATGCAGCTCTAACAAGGGATGGCCTTAGTTTGGGATATGGGGGAGGGAATTGGCAAGTGAGTCAGCCATTACAAATTAAGAGACTTGGGGCCAGATTCTCAGGTACAGCTAAGCACTGCTTTGTGCCATTGCTCCTATTCTGGAGCCGTTGTGGCCTTCCAGTGCACTTCAGAGCATTCTTAGGACTGCACGACTTGTAATAAAAACTAGGGCTGTCAAGTGCTTAAACAATTAATCATGATTATTCGCACTGGTAAACAATAGAATACCATTTATTTAAATATTGTTGGATGTTTTCTACATATATTGATTTAATTTATAACAGTGTACAGTGCTCATTTTATATTTTTGATTACAAGTATTTGCACTGTAAAGTATTTTTTCAATTCACCTAATACTGTACAAGTACTGTAGTGCAATCTCTATCATGAGAGTTTAACTTAAAAATGTAGCATTAGGTACAAACCCCCCCCCCCCCCCCCGCATTCAAATTAAAAATGTAAAATTTTAGAGCCTATAAGTCCACTCAGTCCTACTTCTTGTTCAGCCAATCACTCAGACAAATTTGATTACGCTTGCAAGCGATAATGTTGCCCAATTCTTGTTACATCACCTGAAAGTGAGAACAGGCATTCTTATGACACTCTTGTAGCCAGCGTCCCAAGATACTTATGTGCCAGATGCACTAGAGATTCATATGTCCCTTCATGCTTCAACCACCATTCCAGGGGACATGCGTCCATACTGAAGACTGGTTCTGCTCAATAACAATCCAAAGCAATGCAGATCAACACATGTTCATTTTCATTATCTGAGTCAGATGTCACCAACAGAAGGCTGACTATTTTTTGGTGATTCGGGTTCTGTAGTTTCCACATTGGACTGTTGCTCTTTTAAGACTTCTGAAAGCATGCTCCACACCTCATCCCTCTCAGATTTTGGAAAGTACTTCAGATTCTTAAACCTTGGGTCAAGTGCTGTAGCTATCTTTAGAAATCTCCCACTGGTACCTTTTTTGCATTTTGTCAAATTGTTCTTAAAATGAATCCCAGGTGCTGCATCATCATCCAAGAGTGCTATAACATGAAATATATGGCACAATGCATGTAAACCTGAGCACGTGACATACAGTTCTCCCCCAAGAAGTTGAGTCACAAATTAACACACTTTTTTTTTAAATGAACATCATCAGCATGGAAGCATGTCTTCTGAAATGGTGGAATGGAATGCCTGAAGGGGCATACGAACGTTTAGCATATCTGGCACATAAAGACCTTGCAATGCCAGCTACCATGCAAATGCCGGTTCTCACTTTCTGATGACATTGTAAATAAGAAGGCAGCATTATCTCCTGTAAATATAAACAAAGTTGTTTGTCTTAGCGATTGGCTGAACAAGAATTGACTGAGTGGACTTGTAGGCTCTGAAGTTTTACATCATTTTGATTTTGAGTGCAATTATGTAACAAAAGATCTACATTTGTGAGTTGCACTTTCATGACAAAGATTGCACTACAGTACTTGTATTAGGGGAATTGAAAAATACTATTTCTTTTATCATTTTTACAGTACCAATTTATAATAAAAAATATACTTTGATTTCAATTACAACACAAAATATTTAATAAATTTCAATTGGCATTCTGTTGCTTAACAGGGCAATTGAAATTGCGATTAATCACGATTAATTTTTTTTAGTTAATTGCGTGAGTTAACTGCGATTAATCGACAGCCCTCATAAAAACCAAATATGCTCCACAGGCACTTGAGTTGAAATGGCAGCTGTGTTCTTCCAAATATACTATGAAGACATGTCGGAGGGCATCTCCAAATATACTAAATGTGTTTAATAATGTAGAAAACTTGAAAGCAAGTTCAGCTTGTGCAAGCCCCCTGGCAGCTTAAAAAGCAGCAATCACTTGTTCTGAAATGAGGCTGCAGGAGCTCTGAAAGTGGGGAGAATGGTGTAAAGGAGAAAAAGATGCATCCCCGCCACCTCTTTTGGGGGGGGGGGGGTAGGGAGAGTCAGTTTGCTGCATCAACACAACATTCAGCTATAGACCTGACAGAATGCATATGGTGAGGCAGTAAGCATAGCAGGAGGGAATAACATCAGGATTTCATTTCATACATACCAAGATGTCGGACGTTCCACATGGGATCAATATTAGAATGTTGCTTGTAAAATACTATTAGCAGTGGTGGTGTGGCAATGCTACCTGCCAGAGTTCTGCTGTATAACTCCTCTCTAGAGGGGGAGATGAAGTTATTAGCTGAGGGTGCAGATACAGCTCTAGAATGGTTAATTTTCATATAACTACTTCATAGAGGAAGAGCATGCTGCATTCTGTCTGGCTAGTTACTTATGTAGACTCCACTATCCTTCATTCCACAGTGAATCTTCGTCACAATAACCCAACCCGACTTGTCTACCCCTGATTTCTGTATACTTACTCTACATTAAGTGTCATCCATTTCTCCAATTGCTTAGTGATGTTCTGTAATTTCCATTCTGTTAGATTGGCAACAATGATCCCTGGATTGAAAGAGCAGGTGCTGGCTTTCATGGCGAGCTTCCGGATTGTTTGTTTCTTATAGTCTAAAAATCCAATATAATTGTACTGAAAACAGAACAAAAATTGGATTTTAGTTTTAACTGCTCCCCAATAAAATATCATTCAAAATGCTCCCTCCCCCACCCCATCACAGTTTAAAAAAAAAAAAAGTCAGTGCCCCTGGTAGAGCAGAGGATTGTTGTGTGGATAAAATATTTTCTCTTCCTTTAGTACAGGATAGAGCGTGTGGTTTAAGAGGCACGACAATGTGTAAAGCTTTCACTATAAAAGTTTTCTTATGCTTTCAGGAATGCTCACACCCTTAATACCTAAAATCCAAGATGTCACCAATCTCACCATTAGTGCGAGTATATTATATGCACACACAAACAAAATCGTATCTGTAGAATGTTAAGTTCTAGACTGCATGTTCTTCACAGCAGCATCTTACTCCCATTGTACAGCACAGTTGTAAATTCAAAGAGCTCTGATTATGTCTCTACTTTTGAATGTGATCTCAACTTGGCTTTCAGTTGTGCCCACAAATAACCACAGGTGCAATACTTCAAGTGCTATAAAATGCCCCTAAACATCTGAGTAACTAATTTGTGGTTAGAGTCAAATACTTGACTTCCAAGTACTATGAAATTTATCAGCAAGTAAGAAGGAACAAACTCAGAGGCCAATTCTGAAAATGAGTCTGAAATATTGATATTATTTTATCTGAACTGTTCAGACCTGATTCCCTGCTCCACGGATGGCAAATTTATTAGTGGTTGAGTCACAGTCATCTGCAAATGCAGCTGCATGGCCAGGTTTCAGTGGTGTGTTGTGAAGTTCAAGGATATCATCTGAAAAATCCAAACCAAGCAGAGAATCAAAACAGAAATATTGCTTAAGCTTTAGTTCATGTGCTTTTTGTATACTCTGTTCCAACGTTGATACCAACGTGACCGTACCCAACTCAAAACAGAGTTACATCTTTTTAAAGAAGGAATAGGGCCAGGACAATTAAATGTTTAAAAATATATTCCTTTAAATACAGTACATGCCAGTTATACACAAGCTTACATTACGTGGAAGTATACCTCTAACTCCTGCATCTCAAATTCTACTTTGGCCAAATCACCCTGCTGATCGCTAGGGGACCAATCCAACTCCCACTGAATACAACAGGAGCTGACATCAAAACCAAGGTTTTTTGTTTGAGAAATGGATTTTACATTAGAAATCATACACAATATAAAGGGAGTGAAATGAAAAACAGAATCTGCAACAACAAAAAAAGTCAAGTTCCTTGTTTGTTGCTGTGGTCTTGTTAGGTAAAGAATTTTCTCCCTAGAACACTGCAAGATTCACTAGGGAACTGAGAATTCTACAGTAGTTTTACTGCTAAAGTTGAAAGAACTTAATGTTATTCTGCATATATAAAATACTCCTTTTGTAGGAGATTTAAACAGCTAGTTAAAATTAACATTAACATTGTCAAAGAAAAGGCGTTAGAAAAATCATGAATTTTGCATGTATAAAATATATTTTAGATGCTAAAACAACAACAACAACAACACACTCTCAACAACTTGGTTAAACCAGACAAGGTACAAATATAAGAGCCAGCAATCTTTATGCTTCACCAGAGCAAAAACTGATCAAACAGGGACAGGAAAAAGTTTCTTCCCAATGTAGAGACTTGCACAGATTAGGTGCATTTACAGGGTTATTGCACTCTTACATGGAGAAGAAGCATTTGGCTAACGTCCGAGACAGCATAGTGAACTTTATCCATTCCACCAAGGCAATGCCTATTCACTTAGGAAGAAAATGTTCAGTACCTTGCACTATTACATCATCATCCATGTATATGGCCTTCTCTGCATGAGGAACGAACATAGGTAAGTAGAATCTTGCAAAGGTTAACTGTCAACACAAGCAAGCAAGAGAAATGAGAAAGTGACAGAGTAATGGGGAACTCTAACTGATATCCCAGGCACTAATTTTCTGGAAATGCCAGTACCCATGACAACATGCAACAAAAGAAAAATAACCATCAAGGATGGGAGGGTTTTTTTGTTTGTTTGTTTTTTAAAGCAAAAAACAGTTAAGGGCAGAATTTTCAAAAATACCTAACTGACTTAGTTTCACCAACTTTCAGTGGAGCTTGTGCTCCTAAGTCACTTAGACCCAGATCCTCAGAAGTAGTAAGGCTTCTAATTTCCATTGATTTAGGAGACTATGTACAACTGTGGATCTGGGCATTTGGCTCTTTTGAATATCACAGCCTAAATGTTCGTACAGCACTTTGGAAATATAAAATGCTCCATATGGCCCTGCTTCTGCAATGCAGTTCGCTAGCCTGAGCACCTGCACAGAACTGCACTAACTCAGTGGAACTCCACACAAATGCAGGCGTCAGTGCTAGCAGATTACATTTCAGAACTGGAGCCTACATTATCAGTTTACAAATATTTTGCTTATAATAGGAAAAATTAAGTTGGCGTATCATATTTCTTGGAATAACCAGCTATAATTGAACGACTCATTCATATTAATCATAACTCGATGCAAAGGGTTAATAATGTAATCAATGGACATTTATATAATACTTGTTATCCTGAAAGATCCCATTATACCGAGGAATTATAATTCTCACTAATGAAATGTAGCAATCTTTGGGTTCCCATAGTTCCAGAGCACACCAGCATTTTGCAATAGTTCAAGATAGGGAGGGAATGACTCCTAATCCAAATGAAAATGTAGGTGGATTTTAGGGAACCAGAATGTAGTTATCCAAATTGGAATACGAACAGGACTTTGGAGTTAATATGTCTACTCTTGCAAAAAGAGCTCTGGGATATTTAACAACCACAAGTTATCTGAAGGGATAGCATATCCAACTGCAGACCATCCCCTGCTGGTACACTGGTTTACTATCGAATCAGAAGAGTGCCATCTATTTCAGGGGCGGCCAACCTGTGGCTCCAGAGCCACATGCGGCTCTTCAGAAGTTAATATGCAGCTCCTTGTATAGTCACCAACTCCAGGGCTCGATCTACAGGCACCAACATTCCCATGTGCCGGGGGGTGCTCACTGCTCAACCCTTGGCTCTGCCACAGACCCTGCCCCCACTCCACCCCTTCCCACCCTGAGCCTACTGTGCCCTCACTCCTTCCCCTCTCCCCCAGAACTTTCTGCACACCACAAAACAGCTGATCAGGAGGTGTGGGGAGGGCGGAGGCGGCGCTGATCAGCAGGGCTGCCGGTGGGCGAGAGGCGCTAAGAGCAGGGGCAAGGTGGGGGAGATGATGGGATGCTGCTGACATATTACTGTGGCTCTTTGGAAATGTACACTGGTAAATTCTGGCTCCTTCTCAGGCTTAGGTTGGCCACCCCTGATCTGTTTAATTACCACAATCACTACCTAGCATTAATCTCTATGGGGTAGGTTGTGCCTGCCTCATTATTTCTAAACTGAATATATAATTAAGTCTGGACAAGAAGCAAACTTTTACATTATGAAACTACAGGTTAAAAACAGACAGAGAATAAAGCTATAAAATACTAGCTATAAATCACAGATCTGTCCAGATATAACTAGTACGTCCACCCACATCAGTCATCAACATATGTTACCACTGATTCATATTTACAACAAATAATCAACATCAGTACTCACTGGTTTTATGGAGTCTGCCTGTTCAGACTCCACTTTCACTTTCCCTTCCAAAACATGAGGGTCGAAATCCAAAATTCGGTATTTCACCTTTTTCAGAGCAGTTTTACTCAGCCACGCTCTGCCCAGGAAAGAGGAAGAGGAGTTGCACATTTACAAAAGAGAATAAACATGGGTAAATGAGATCAAATTAAACCAAAAATAAAGAGATGATCCAAATGATAATGACACAAATAAGTGTTCTGGTTACTCTAGCTTGGTTGTTTTCCCTACCTATGAAATCTGCATGTAGTATATAATCTATGTTTGACTTCAGTACAGAGCTGTATGGATTCAGAGGTCTGCTCACTGCAGGATTGTGGCTCTAGGTGCTGGCTAATGGAATTTTCTGAGGTTTACTTTACAAGTTGTTATAGTATTTAGCATCAGAAACTCACGCTCCCATTACAAAAAGCATTACTCAAGATAATCAATGTTAATTTTGACCTTCCAGTTAACTGGAGAAGGGAGATGGGGAGGACAGAAAAGGGTCAAATACCAATCTAAAAATTAGGAAACTTCACTGCTAGGGCTCATCTTTCTGTGATGGAATCTGTCTTCTATTAAAAAAAATAATTTCCTCTCTCTCACGTTTAACCTGTTTTCTTTAAGCATGCACAACAGCAGAGTGTGAAATCATTCCTCTGCCACATTTATGGAAGCACATTTCTTACATTTCTTTTTTTAATGCTGTAAATTGAAATCTCTTACTTAAAAACCCACCATTTTTGGCAGGTTTTTTGTGTACAGCTGAAAGTCAAACAAATAAAAAAAAACTGATCAAGGGGCCTCATCCTGAGAAGTCAATGGGAGATAAGGGCATTCAGGACTTCAGAGAATTGGGCCCTAAAATGAATACTAGTCATTGTCAGGAACAAGACAAACATGGGAAGAACCTGAATCCTTGGAAACTTTGGATTTTCTTGGCTCATTGGTTTCGACAGGTCCTCAGTGTTTAAAAAAAAAAAAAAAAAAGAGGTACTACAACAAGTAAAGTTAGGAAACACAAACACAGAAATCAAGCAAAGCAGAGCTACTCCACACAGACTGCAGTCTACACCTGGAATGTTACCAGGGAGGGTGACTGTAGCAAATAGAATATACAATTTCAAGAAGAACCTACAGCTGCTTCCTGAAAAAGAAATGATCACAAGGTCTGGTAATAAAGCAAACAGGTAGGATTGCAATCAGTTTTGAGAGGTCTGGATTGTTGGACCAGATGGTCTTTTCCTCTTCTGAAAGTTAACCCTGTCTGGTTTCAGAGTAGCAGCCGTGTTAGTCTGTATCCACAAAAAGAAAAGGAGTACTTGTGGCACCTTAGAGACTAAGGAGACTAAGGTGCCACAAGTACTCCTTTTCTTAATCCTGTCTGACATTAATGGAACGAGCTGAATCTGGAAAGCACAGTTTACCTCAAATGGTCCACTGTACCATTTAGAGTGACAATATGGAACACCACGTTGGATTTAGTGTTATGGTAAATGCTGTTCATGGCTGCAATGACACCTCCAAGCCGGTCATCTGATGCTGTAATGACTACAGGAATTTCCTGATCATTTCTTTTGTCGGTCAGCCTTTGAGGAGCCTCGGGTATGAAATCTATAGGCTGGAGTCCTAATGGACTTGAATCTGCAGGACAAGAAAATGGATATATATATATATATATATATATATTTGTGCTACAAATAAATAAATGATTAGTGTTTGAAAATTCTTAATACCTCCAATTATTTCTATTTATACTGTTCTTAGAGACCCCACGCAGGGATCAGAACTATTACAAGTTTTTAAAGCTAGGTTTTGTACAAACTTGTAATAGTAAAGACAAGACAAGCCCTGAAGAACTTGTCATCTATATTAAACACAACACCTGAATATTATTATTATGCACACATATAAGTTTGAACTCCCCAATGAGCCAGCATGGCAGGGTACACAGATGAATCTCAGAGCTCAGATTAAATTCCTTCATTCATTAATTTCAGGACTTTAGTAACAGTTAGCTAAAGGGGGTCTTAGATACAAATGAGCTGCACACTCAGCTCAGAGCATAGTCTCCCTCCCTTCTTCCCTTCCCAGCACCACCCGCTCTCCCAACTCTCTTTCTAATTCCTCTGAGAGAGAAACCAAGGAAATGCCACATTAATGCAGCTATGGTGTCATCTACTCCCCCAGATGACTAGGTATAACAGTACATGAAAACAACAAGGAGTCCAGTGGCACCTTAAAGACTAAGGGATTTATTTGGGCATAAGCTTTCGTGGGTAAAAAACCCACTTCTTCAGATGCAACTAAAGAAGTGTGTTTACCCACGAAAGCTTATGCCCAAATAAATCTGTTAGTCTTTAAGGTGCCACTGGACTCCTTGTTGTTTTTTGCAGATACAGACTAACATGGCTGCCCCCTGATACTTAACAGTACATGGGTGTCTCATAGGAGTCCTAGATATCTAAAATGACCTAAACTGAACCCACAACTATTTATGCCTGCAATGTACAGATACAAAAATGGATGTTGGTAGTTTAAATTAGCCAACTGAATGGATTACCTAGGAATATGGTAAATTCTCCATCAATTGGAATCTTTATATCAAGACTCGATATTTTTTAAAATATCGGACGCCATGCAGGAATCACTGGATTAAAGTCTATGCCCCGTGTTACGCAGAGTGTCAGATCTGATGGTCACAATGGCCCTTTCTGGCCTTAAAAATCTACGAATGTCTGACTTGAGATTCTTAACAATGCTACTTCACTATCAAAGCTGTGATTTTTCACTAAATGTAGCTACAGCTAAAACTGCTGGATTCCATCTGTATTTGCATACTCGTGACCCCTCTATAGCAGACACACTCATCAGGACCGACTTCCTCTTAGTTCTGAGGAAGTTAGTAAAAATCTAATGTTAATGGAGTACCGAAATAAAATTTAGACAAAAAGACAGGAAATCCATGCATTCAAAATACACTTCATTACAGAAGGGATCTATTGTTATTACATTACAGAAACCATTTTCGTATGGCAGAGGTTTGTTTCGGATTAGGTATGCATCGTGCTACTGATCTGAAAAGAAAACTCTTAATATTAAAAAAAAAAAAGCCACTGTACCTGCTACATCTCGTTTCAAAAAGTCACTGAGACCTAGAAGGTTGTGATGCAGAACTAATAAAAATATAACAATAGCAAGTACAAGGATGGCAATGTTCACTGAAACAGAGAAGAAGAGAAAGGTAATTAGGATAATCTCACAGGTCAGGAAAAGCTACGAGCACAGAAGTTCTTTATTTGTCTGCTTGTTTTAAATATGTACCTTTTCTGAATGTCATTTTTCCCCTTGTGTTTTTGTTTATAAGCAGAGCCTCTTTACAAACCTGTAAGATGAAAACATACAACAGTTACATTCCACTGCCTGCACATGCATATGGGAGACATGCTATGACTGAGAGTGTCAAAAAATTTTCATAGAACATGGAGAATATGTGCCTAGTGTTTGCCTCTATTCATGAGATAAAACTGCATTGAATTTTAAATGGTCACCAGGTACTTACAGCTAAGTAGGCATCCAGCTAGGGTACCACCTCTAAGGTGGACACTCCCTGTGATGAGAGGGAGAGACAGTGTCCATCTGGGGAGGAGGGATAAATAGTAAATTATGTTAAGTTAGTACTTATACAGGGCTTTTCATCCATAGATCTCAAAGCACTTTATGAAGGTGGGCAAGTATCATAACCCCCATTTTACTAACAGAGAAACTGAGGCAGAGGGGCTAAGTGATTTGCCCAAGGTCATCTTGCAAGTCAACAGCAAGGCTAAGCATCAATGCAGATCTCCTGACTCCTAGTTCCGTGCCCCATCCACTTGAACATGTTTACAGACTGAGAGTGTGTCCACTCAGATGGGGGTGGAGACAGAGATGAAGAACAGGACAATGTTTTAGTGAGGATAATCCCCATTTTGCCTTAACCCAAACTTACTGTGAACTGGAAAGTGCATTTTTCCAGAAAAGACATGATGAATTATGCAAATCCTTGAGCTATCAAACTAGCTCTGCATGGAAATACTTCAACACTCAGTTTGCACACCACTGAAACAATGATCTCTTTTGTCTGTCAGGCACAGTCTTAATGGCTTCTGGAGACCATGAATGGGTTGAGCCAACCTATCCAAATAAGACAGTGTCTCAGTAGCAGGTCAAATACACCTGCATTTTTCCTCCAAAAGAGGCTAGGAAACCTTTAGATGAGTATAGTGCATTCTTTGCTCATTTAAGTTCCTAGCAAAACATGTTATGCATTTTTCAAATCCTGTCAGAATCTATACACCCCTAATGCAATGGAAAAACAGCAGCTGCAAGATCATACACAGGACAATTAAAAAAAACCAAACAAACAGTATAAGAAAAGGCATGGCCTTTTATGGAAGAAAAAACAAATAAACCTAAAGTCAGGATGCTCCACTTATAAAGACTACTACTGTAATCCTTGTATGGAAGGTAGGAGAGTCAGAATATATGGCTCAAACATACTTCATCACTTAACTATGATGGTGACCACAAATGTAGAATACAAAGTGTACATCCTGTAGAACGCCACTTAGCTTTCCAAATAACTTGTAGAAAACATTTACGCTACTTTGTAGAAAGTTTGCAATAAGCCACTGCAAAATCTGCAACTGGAAATAACAAATCACACAGAGAAAACACTTGTGCTGTATGTTACACATAATAGCTGTGCTAGTGCTGTTTTATTCTAGCGAGGGACTTGAACATCTCACACAAACAAGCCACACATATCTTGGCATAATGTTATGCATACAACACCGTCAAAGCTGTCAGCAAAAGAATGTAATCTAGCTTTGATTTCTATGTAATGAATTATTAAAAAAAACAACAACAAAAAAACAAAAAAACCCCACTCTCTGTTGCGAGTCCTCTCCTAAAACCAAAACATACTTCAATGCTCTATTAGCAGATCCCCAGCAATCACTGTGAACCTCATATGATAAATCAGCCTACAGAGGAAAACCAACTTGTCAAGGAGACTGGTTAGATTTCAAGTTTCTTAACTTGTTTGAAATGCTAAGGGAAAAATATTTTTAAAAAACCACCTATGAAATAGGGCTGTCAATTAATTGTAGTTAACTCACGTGATTAACACAAAAACATTAATCACAATTTTAAAAATTAATAATTATTAATCACAATTTTAATTGCACTATTAAACAATTATGACAAAGTCCCTGCTCTACCTTGGTGGGTCTTGTGCTTATTGGCGGATTTGCTCGCCTTGGAGCTTCACAGCAGCCCTCAGCTTGGCTGTTTTTCTGAACCCACAGTCCAGGTCGACTCCGCCTGTGTCTGACCAGGAGCTGGGAGGATCTGGGGGGGAACCCAGGCCCACCCTCTACTCTGGGTTCCAGCCCAGGGCCCTGTGCAATGCAGCTGTCTAGAGTGCCTCCTGGAACAGCTGTGCAACAGCTGCAACTCCCTAGGCTACTTCCCCATGGCCTCCTCCCAACACCTTCTTTATCCTCACCATAGAACCTTCCTCCTAGTGTCTGATAATGCTTGTACACCTCAGTCCTCCAACAGTCCACGTTCTCACTCTCAGCTCCTAGTGCCTCTTGCTCCCAGCTCCTCACACACACACCACAAACTGAAATGAGCTTCTTTTAAAAACCCAGGTGCCCTGATTAGCCTGCCTTAATTGATTCTAGCAGCTTCTTGATTGGCTTCAGGTGTTCTAATCAGCCTGTCTTAATTGTCTCCAGAAGGTTCCTAATTGTTCTGAAACCTTCCCTGTTGGGAAACGGGACATCCCTCGCTTGCTCCTCAGCTATCTGCTTTCTATTCTGGCCTGGATTTTTCTTACTTTTTGAGCCTGCCTTAGTCCCCCACCCCGACCGGGCCAGACGCTTTTTTGTTTTGGTTTGTTTTTCTGCCATTTTTCTCTGCTGCCGTTGAGTGCTGGTCAGCTGCCAACTTGCCGCCATCACCCCCCCCCCACACCTGCTCCCGGGCGCAGCTATTTGCCTTAGCTGAAACCCCCGGAGGAGGGGGGGAAGATTGCCAACCCGCTACCCGGAGGGGGGAGTGGAAGCCCCCAGACCCAGCCGTTTTCCTGGCAGCTCGGAATTCCTTATTATCTCTGCAACATTCTCGGCATGCCGGATGCCTTGGTACAAAGCCAACAGAGCTGGAGAAGAAGAAGATAGGAAACAGAAGAAATCACCCAGGGAAGCTACAAATCATCGTGGAAGGGGCCGTAAGACTGAGTAACTTTTTGAATTATACTCTCGTGGGGGGGAGTCTGACTGTGGTTTAATTACGTTTGTGGCGGCACAGGGGGTGTGGCACGGAGCTGCCCCCCGATCCATCGGTGCCCCCCCCAACATTATTACAACTGTCACGGGCCCCCCCGCCATCCGTCCCTGCTGGCAACCTGCCATCTGCCTCGGATCCAGCTGTTTGCTTTGAACTTTGCCTTTCGGACCAGACATAACAGCCGACCAAACGAGACTCTTTGGACAAACGTGCGTGGGTCCACACCCCCCCCCCGGATTGTTTATCCCACAGCTTGCCCCTATCACTGGACCCCGATTCCTGTTTTTCCCCCCCTTCCAGTCCAACATATTTGGTACCCCTCCCCCCGCCTGCAGCTCAGCAGGGAGGAGCAGTTAATCTGCTTCCCCCTCCTCCTTCCGGTGTCTCCCCGTCTCTCCCTGCTCACAATGGCGGGGAATGAGAGAGGCGAGGCCCCTCTACCAATATTAGTTGTCCCTCCCCCACCTGCCCCCCTGCCCAACCCCCAAGGCCCCCCCCCCAGCCCCACTGTCAAAACACCTGCCACCGCCCCCGCTGGGGCACTGGCAGCAGGAGGCACCGGGGCAATTACTGCCGCTGCTACGTTCACCGCCCCCCCAGATTCTAGGAACCCCCCCCAGCTGGCTGAAAAGGTCAGGGCAGGAAGAAAGGAAAGGGCCCCGCTAAAACCACTAGGCCCTCCATGGCAGGGGCTGCCCCCACCGCTGTGGCCTCGTCATCGACCGCGGCGTCCCCCCCCGCTGGTCCCTCCACCAGCTCTGCGAACATCCCTCCCCAGGCCCCCAGGACGTATGCCCGGGCGGTGGCAGGCTCCCCCCTGCCTGCCGCCTCGTCATCTCGCCCACCCACTGCCTCCGCTACCATCACCAGCGGCCGGGGCCCCTTGCCCACCTTGACCAGGAGGCACGGTGTCCGTTGCTGTGTCCCACGGCTATTGTGGCGGCCTCCAAAATGTATGGGAAGGTCGTTTTTTTCTTAGCTTCGGAGGCTGCCGCCCAGGAGGCGGTGGAGAAGGGCCTGGTGGTGGGGGGAGTGTTTGTCTCCCTAGAGCCGCTAGAAGTCCTCACCTCCATTCCTCCCTTTTTACCTAATGCTGCCCTGTTACCCGCTCTCTCCACCCTGGGGAAACTTGTCTCTATCATCAGCCCTCTCCCGTTGGGCTGCAAGGACCCCACCCTCCGTCACGTCCTTTCGTTCCGCCGGCAAGTGCAGCTTCTACCGCCTGCGGCAGCGCGTGACGGAGAGGCGCTCAAGGGGTCCTTCCTAGTCCCCTACCAAGGAGCCCGCTATCAGGGTCTTTTACTCCACCGGAGAGGCCCGGTGCTACCTCTGCCGCTCAGCGGGGCATGTCCGCAGAGATTGCCCTTTGGCCCAGGGGGGAGGGGCACCCGAGACCCCCGAAACCTGGCAGGACATCGGCCCCGTCATTGCCGACACCCCTGGCCGCCCGGCACCTGAAACCAACCCTCCTCCTACTCGACCCGCCGCTGCTCCCGTCCGGGCCCAAGAAACACCTCCCCTACAACGCCCAGGCGAGCATTACCAATTACCAATCCGGCAGAGCCTATGGAGGAGGGTGTGGCCAAGATATTACCGGGTATAGGAGAGGGCCTGCCCCAAGGAGAGCCCCCCGCCCCTCATGCTGCCTCACCGTTACCCCCCCCGAACCTCTGAATCATCGCCTCCGCCCCCCAACATGACCCCTGCTAACCAACCCCCAGACGACGCTATGGAGGGCTGGACTCTAGTCCAGGGGAAGCGAGGCAAGCGGAAGGCTCGAGCTCCGCTGCATCCATCTGATGCGGAAGCCCCCCGGAAGACCAGGAAGGGAGGCACTGATATTGAGCCTTCTGCTACGGCCATGAGTGAGATCTATCCGCTGGTGTCGGGAGGGGAAGACAGACTGGCATTGGAGGGCAGAATCCCCCCTCCACGAGAGACCCTCCCCTCCGAGACCCCTGAGGAAGCTCCTTCTGCCCGGATACCACCCGAACCCCCCACGAACCCCGAGGCGACCGTTGAGGCGGGCCCTAGAGGAGAGGCCCCCGG